CTTTTTGGTAACTTCATGACTTAACTGACCACAACATTGCATGCACGTAGATTATTTCGCGCTTTGATATGAAAGGATACAGGCTACAGCGCGCGCCGGCGCCTTTGTGCGTGCAATTGAAGAGCACGCGCTGCGAGCACAGTACCATTTCAGCGCTCATTTAACTCGCGCCTGGCGCTGAAGTGGAACACGCGTCTGAAACGTCTCCCATTCTCAGTCGTTCTGCGACTGAATAAATGCACTTCTTGTCAAGAGAAAAAGTGATAGAAGCAGCAGTTGTGAGTGGTGTGGCCAACCCTAGGCCCGCCCCTGCGTTAATTGCGTTAAATATTTTTAACGCGTTAAAACTGAAAAAATTAATCGCCTGCTTTAACGCGCTAATTTTGACACCACTAATATATATATATATATATATATATACACACACATTTATACAACAGTTCTTTCTGGTGCTCGAATCTGATTGGCTGGTAAGAGTGCGATATTAGAGTAATATCAGAACTCCAACAGCCGTTTCACAGTTTATAATCGTATCACTCCACTTGCGGTACTTCTTACAGCGAGTGTCACGGCGGACGCCCAAATCCAGTATCATTTTATAAATATTACTCTTTTTGTGTCAAGGATTGTAGTTTTAAGATGTTATCAGGCGAGAATGTACTTGTTTATAGTTGAAATGTGCAGTTTGTTAATAAAGATAACATCTAATTGAAAATTTGTTTTGACGTTTTCAGAGCCAGAAACGGTCTGCGGCCGTTCTGCGTTCATGAACCCGCCGAGAGCAGCCTCACCTCGGCCAGATCTTCTGGAATTTACTGCTGGCTCTGATGTCTCTGTAGTGGTTAAACATAAATTTAATAAGTAAGGGATAATCAACGGCTAGCCGTGCATTAAAGGATTGTAAATGCACGACGTGGAGGCAAAGAACCGCCCGACATGAAGCGGAGGGTGGTTGCCTCCGCAAAGTGCATTTAAAATCCTTTAATGCACGGCTAGCCGTTGATTATCCCACTTATTCCATGGTCATTTGCCAAGTTATAGACAAGTTAAAACTAGTATTGCTCTTTGCAGCACAATATTTGACTGAATATGTAAAAATGACAGGTATTTTCGTCAGTTACGGCACGGTAGCGCTAGCATTCTGCCCGTTTCAATTCAGACACTGAAATAGTGTGGCAAGATCACATTTATTTGAATGAATAATAGCATTTATTTCAATTAATTATCGATCGAGAGAGAAAGAGAGAAAGAAAGAAAGAGAGAGAGAGAGAGAGAGAGAGAGAGAGAGGACAGTTGTGTGTGCATTACCTGCATCTGCACATCTCTCTCTACAAACAATTAATTAGGCTACTTTAAAAACAGCAATTTTACACCTCGTTGCTGAGGAATATAATGTAGCTATCTAGTATCTAGGCTATTTTATTAATAAAAATCGCGGGGAAGCGCTGACAACAAGTTTATGTGCGATCTGCGATCTCCGACTCTCGCTCTGTGTGTGTGTGTGTGTGTGTGTGTGCGAGTAATGTTTGTTGGTTAGTGTGCATCAATTAAAGCAGCGCATTAATATAGAACGGTGATTAAACTGACTTGGAACTACCTGTGCATTAAATGGTTTTACTGCATACCTGCCAGCCAATCAGAATCAAGTATTCAGACAGACCATGGAATAAGGCTGTATATCGGCACGCTGTGATTACCTACTGTTGATTGATATACAGCCATATCTCACATCTACGAGTGTGATATTGATTATATACTGTATATATACATATTATTTATTTAAAATGTTTATTCTTAAATTATTTTATTATTTTAAAAAAGGTGATAGTTGGGTTTTGAAACTACTATGTCCATTACTCAGCCAGTCTCCAGTTATTACAGTCAAATTAACTAACATAACTTATATATGTCAATTAATATACTGTCAGAACAGTTGAGCTTTGTTGTTCCTGCAGGAGATTCAGTTCAAATCTGATTTCAACTCTTTTCTTTCCCTCAAAGTTTCTCATACACATTACTATACACCAAGCACAGCATTTTAAGATGTTTCAGACATCTGAAGGATAAGATAAGAATTGCACTCAAACACTCAAGCAGTGAATCTGACAGAAATGTTCAAGAGTCTTTTCACTGATGGATGGAGTGAATGTGGTACAAATGCAAAGCCTGTGATTCAAATCAGCCCTCATGCAAGTATAATACAAGTTTAATGGCCCATGATCCCCCAGTGTTTATGCCGTAAAGAAGCTTTAGAGGAACGTCAGATGGAAAGAAGCCAGACAGACCCAAGAGCTCAAGTAAACAAGCCCACGGAAAGCCTGCGAGAGCCGCGTAAACACTTCCTCAGAAAAATGAGGCTCTGTTGATCAGGGCTAATGTAACTCTATGACACGCACGAGATGGGACGCCCCGTATCGGGTGGTCTGGATACGGACATGCTCCATCAGGAAAACCCATACGCAGACGTGTTTAATGACCGGAGTGGATGTCAAAACATTTGTGTGGGTTTATTTTCCGTGCGTTTGGGGATATAAAGTTTAACTGCATCTTGGCGAGTTTGAGAAGCGAAATCATGCTTTATATATGTTAACATATTATATATTAAATATATTTAAACAGTTATTTTAAATTGTAATAATGTTTGATAATATTACTGTTTTTACTGTATTTTTAATTAAGCAAATGCAGCCTTGGTGAGCATAAGAGACTTTCAAAAACATTAAAACAATTATTTTTCCAAACTTTTGATCAGCAGTGTGTATGCATATTATTATTACTATTATTGTTGTTATTATTATTATTTATTTATTTTAGATTTTTTTATTTATTATTATTTTTGAACATTATTTTATATATTTGTAAATATTACAATAATACAAGATTATCTTGCATACCTTTAATCTATTACCACAAACTATTGCTTGGCTATAATTATGATTAATGAATCAGATTATTATCCAAATCGCCAGGAAACATTACATGTGTGATGGTGGCAAGTGCGGATGTTAACATTAAATTTATTAGCAAAAAAATAATAATTTGCAAAGTCAAAGTGTTTTGCAGGTTAAAGTCATTTGAAGGTTATTGTGAGAAAGATAACCAAAAGTTGTGTGCAGATCTAAGTGGGCAGTTCTTACCAAAATATGTTGCAATGTTGACCAAACTAAATGAAGAAGATCCCCAGACCCTTGACGTCAAAACTAAGCCGCTGCAAATTAATAGCGAGGTCTTACCACTGATTGTGATGCCCAGTTCCACTCCTCGTTTCTTCTGCAGCTTCACATGGAATGTTCCACTGCTAGGCACAACAGATTCTGGCCATACAACAAAAACAACATTATGATCGAGTAAAAACACGATTGCAACTGATTTTTAATTAAATACCAATAAAAACTGAAAATAAAGTGACAAATTCATGTCTTAGGAACATTTGATGGAAAACACAGCAATTCATGTTTTAAGAGTTTGGTGGTGAACGTGAAACCTCACTAACCTGCCACATCAAACTCAATCTCTAGCGTGACCTTATTGGCCCATTTGTGTGGGTTTATTTTCCGTGCGTTTGGGGATATAAAGTTTAACTGCATCTTGGCGAGTTTGAGAAGCGAAATCGAGAATGGTAAAATAGGCCAGGGAGAGAGGGATCTTAAAATCACCCCCCAAAAAGATTCAGAGGGAATGGCTTAAATGTTTTTTTTGGGATGATAACAGATCAGGAAAGCAACAGGAAAAACCCTGCAGTTTTTCCAATACGTGATATGACTTTACAAACATAAATGCAAATTAGTAATCCTAAAGTGAGCTTGCATAAATTCTCTAGCGTGACCTTATTGGCCAGAGCAGCATCCCGGAGCAGCTGATTGGCCTCTTCCAGCGTTCCGTCTTCTGTAGGAATTCCGTTGATGGATAAGACTCTGTCTCCAACCTGGAGAAGCCCACACCTGCCAATCAAAACAAGACAGAAGGACTAAAAAGCTCATTTCATGTTTCCTTCCTCCACTGTCAGTCCAAACACCCCTTAAATGGATAGTTCTGACAAAAATGAAAATTGTCATCATTTACTCACCCTCAAGCTGTTTCACACCTGTATGAATTTCTTTTTTCAGAAGATATTTTGAAGAATGTTGGTAACCAAACAGTTGACAGTAGCCATTGACTTCCATAGTGTTTCTTAGCCAATAGCTATCATCAACAGTTTGGTTACCAACATTCATAAATGACGACATAATTTTAATTTTCAGGTGAACAATCCTTTTAAATGGCCGGTTCCTGGCCAAAATAATGTGCAAAGTGGACCAGACTTCATGCCAATAGTCAAAAGTCTGACTGAAAACTGATGTCAATTTTAGAAGTTGATTTTTATCAAACACAACAACAAAAATGCATGATTTACAGTAAGTGTATTGTTTCTCATGTTTCAATATGCAAGCCCAGTATCACTGTGGGAAACCATGTGTGTTTGAAAGAGAAAAACTGACCTGACATGCAATGACTTCCAGCCCAAACACCACAAATGTCACACACTGCCACAGTACAACACAAATCAGATCACTCGCTTCATGCAACAACAATCTCACACCAGGAATGACTAACGCACTGAGCTACAAAAACAAACAGAAATGGACAATTACAAATCTGAACATAATAACAGAAAGTCAATTTAGGGTCTTATCCAGTGGCAGCAAATACAGTAAAATGTTGAGTTTGGCTCCATTGAGGCTTTTGTTTTTGTTGGGTTTGCTGACATGTCTTTGGAAAGAGTGTGTGATTGTATCAACTTAGCCTCAGATGTTTAAGATAAAAATAAAAATAATCTGAAATAAAAAGAAACCCATGAGACAGCTGTTGACATACAGTAAGAAGAGCTATAGTTAGCAAAATGCTAGCCAAATGTTAGCAAAACAGCTGAAATGGCACCTTTGTAGCAATTTAGTTTCCTACAATTTCTTCGGACAAATACAAAAAGACCCATGAGAAAATTGTTGACATACAGTAAGAGTTTAGAGCTATAGTTAAAAAAATTTTTTTAACAAAGTTCGCCAAACAGCTGATGTAGCACTTTTGTATCAACTTTCATTTTGGACACAGAAAACGAGACCCAAATGAGACAGTTAGAGCTGTACTACCAAATGTTAGCAAAAGTTAGCAAAGCAACTGACGTGACAACTAGGGTTGTGACGGTGAGGACATTTTCCCACCGGTTAATCGATGTGTGACAACACCGGTAATACCGGTATCACCGTGGGGGTGGGGGCGGGGCGTTCCCTCTTTTCCTCGCTTTCCTTCGCTTTTAAATAGCTTGTAAAAGCGGTGTGCCCATTTTACTTTCACTTTCAAATAGTGGCAATTCAGAGTAAAGCAGTTGTTCGTTTTTAGTTCGTTTGAATTTTCCCTCTTTTCCTCGCTTTCCTTCGCTTTTAAATAGCTTAAAAGCGCCGTGCGCATTTTACTTTCACTTTTGAATTAGCGGCAGTTCGGCGTCAATTGCTTGAATGCAACAACAAAATACAACGTCAAACTCACTTTAGCCTATATATAAAACAGAACTTTTATTAACAAAACAAATAAAAATACACCATGATAGGACAAGCTATAATATAAAATAACAAATAACTTACATAAAGTTTAATAGGTATACAAAACTGGAAATAAGTAAACGTATAATATATAACCAAATAAATAAGAAACGTAGAACGTTTATTAGCAAAACGAATAAGAAAGCTTGGAGGCACGGCATACACCTTGATGTCAAATAAAATAAATAAATGACACAAAGTTTAAATAAAGTAAAAATCAGCAAACAATGTGGAACCAATTAAATAAGAAACAAATGTTTAAAAAAAAAACTTCCAAAATCACCTTAGATAAACGGCAAAAAGTCAACAGGCTTTTCAAAATCCAAAATATTGCCAAACAGGCGCTTTTGCATCTAGTTTCAAAACTAAATCATCCGCGATCGTCTTGTCTGTCTCACCTCACTCTTCTTGTCAGTCAGCTCGACTCACTCTCCTCACTGGAGAAATGAAATCTGATCTGTGATGCGACTGTCGTTCGGCACGCTGCATTTGGCATCTGCGTTCAGTTTTTAATTGTAGTGTCTGTTCTTTTACTGAACTAAATGATTTTTATTACTATAAAAAAATCTAAACGACGGTGGGGGTCGGTGACGCGGTGGACAAGTGACGTAACCGGTGTTGCGGCTTAACAGCGGTATCACCGTCAACACCGTCTATCGCGGCAAGCCTAGTGACAACTTAGTTTCAGGTGTTTCTTCTACAATTCTCCCAAAAAAGAGAGACAAAAACGAGACCATTTTTGACAAAAAAGTTTAACACTATAGTAAGCAAAATGTTAGCAAAAATTAGTATCAACAAGATGTTTCTTCTTAAAGTAATTTGGTCAAATAAAAAGGGACTCAAATGAGACTGTTGACATACAGTAAAGGTTTAGAGCTATAAAATGAATGTGGATAGCATAGGGCAGATATTTTGGTCTCTGAGGAATTTGACCAGAAATTTTGGCGTTCGTATTGAGATTTTTGACTTTTGATTGAAATCTTTGGTATCTTGGCAAGTGCACTTTGAGACATTATTGAGAGCTCTTGTGAAACTCTAGATGTGACGTGAGATTACTGGTGGCTTTTTCTCAAGAAAAAAAAAATCTGAGATGCATGAGACCCAAATTAGGATCCATCTGCTCTCCATTTAATCTCATTGCTGTCTAGGAAAAAGCATTTGAGATGTTAAAGAGATTATTTTTTTCATTTGTCTTTCTAGCAGACTGAGTTTCGTTTTGGAGACCCTTCCTAAACATTCCCCTCCCTTTAAGAGCACAAAGTGTGACAAAGACACATTTCAACCTCTTAAATTAAAAATTAAAGTCTCTTTCTTAAACATCACTGATAAAAGGCGTGATTTTTTGCAGTGTGAGTTTCCTGCTGAGTGTTGACCCAGATTCGGAGGTAGTATCACATCCAGCTTGATAATTTTCAAGTGTCTCTCTCCAAGTCAGTGTACGCTGACTCTGTCATAAGGCATACATTTTAAAAATACTGATATCGTTACAAGATCTGCATGCATTTTCAATGGAATCTCTGTCCATTGTGGCACCTTATAGTGTTTATATGTGCTTGAGTGAGCATGGATGGCTGTGTTTTGTGTACATGGTTGAGTTAACATTTGGGACGTACCTTTCGGCCGAACTGTCCGGTTCTATGAAGCGGATAAGAGGGGGTGCAGAGAGGGTCTCTGTCGCAAATATTCCACCTTGCAGCTGAACCCCAAACCCATTTAGAGGGTCTCCTCTCAGAGTGACCTCACTGGACTCGGTGTGGACGATCTGACCACCAGGGCCCACAGAACTTGAGGCTAAAGACACAGCTAAACAGAGAGAAAAAACACCACAGAAATATCATAAATGTATAAAACATTAAGGGGCTGTTCACAAAGAATGTGTTTATTGTTTGTTTGTTTTGAACTCCACATCATGTGTGAGATGCTGCAAAAGACACAAGATGGGAGGGCAACGGTCAAACAAATTCTGTGTGAATGGCCCCTAAAAGTGAAACTTTTTTTTCAAAACCTATATAAAAATGTGAACGTGAAACGTTATGATAGATAAAAACTAATAAAATCAATTTAATAAAAAGTAGACTATTTACTCAATATTTGTGTTCACTGTGTTTTTGTGATAGGGCTAAGAGTATTGTGTTGTTAGCTTAGTAACATGCTAACATCCAACTCTACTAAAAGTTTAACTGATAGATACAAATAGATGTGTATGTGCTATGTGTTGCTGTCTCTGTCATCTAACCCTGTAAATGAAAGTAGTTCAATTGATAAATACAAATAGTTCAATCCAATAAAAAGACTATTTACCCAATACATGTGTTTTAACAATGCTTAGAGTGTGGAGTTGTTAGCTTAGCAACACGCTAACATCTAACTACAAAGGTAACTAAAATATGTCAAGCAGTTCAGCCTAATTAAAAATAAATGATTTACCCAATATTTGTTTGTGCTATGTATTGTATAAAAGTGTCTACAGTACTGTGTTCTTAGCTTAGCAAACATGCTAACACCTAGCATGTTTGCTCGGGGATTGCTCAAGACTCGGCTTGAGCTCCGAGTTCAACCCCCCATTGTGGTACTAAACAGAGGGAGAATAACAGAGATAGAGGACCGATAGGGAGGTGGAAGAATGCTGGAAGAATTGTCGCTGGGATGGAGCAATGATTGCTGCTTATAAACTCTTGTAATGATGATTGACAGGACTGAATAGTTTGGCTCCTCCCAAACCTACGTTTGGAACTTCATTTAATGCGCCATTAGAGCATTGTGTCTTTAGCTTAGTAACAAGCTAACATCTAACTCTACCGGAATTAGTTAGGTAGAGTCACTTCATGAGAAGCCATTTAAAAGCAGCTTACAGCATGTAGAGGTTTACAAATCAGTCACTTATGAGATGTCATGAAATGTAATCATTTGCTTTTAGACCATGTCAAACAGAAAACCCATCCAGTCACCTACAGGAGCTTTTGTGCTCTTTTTTCCTTTGTCGTCTCTTTAGCATGGAGTTCCGTGGGCTCATGGGAGGAGCGGCCCGGGGCAGCGTGCTGGAACCCTGGCTGGTCATGCCTGATGTGGTTGTGGACCCAGGAGAGAAGTTAGTGCAGACTACCGCTAGAGAGAACAGAGGAAAGGAGAGAGAAGTCAGGCGGTGTAGCTGCATTTAAAAACTTAAAATCAAAGAGATGGCAATGGTCCAAGAGACTGAGCGGCTCACTGCAGGTTAATGATCCATATTCTATTGGTCCCTTGCTAATCTTTGCAGATCTATCCACTAAGCATTTGTTATTTAAGGGGACGTTATATTGGATTTGGAGGCAACCGCTGGGAGGTGGATGTCTGGGTTAAGAACAATATTCCATATTAACGTGATGCTATTTTACATGTAAATGAAGATGGATGACTTCAACTAGAGAGGTAGATTATCTGAAGAAAATGGGACTTGGTCAGTAAAAATGGCATTTTGGTGCATGAAACCAAGGCTAAAAAATGCTTAAAAAAGCGTAGAATAAAAGTGGGGTCATATTAGTGATATTTATTATACTGTAGTGATGTATGACGCACAGGTTATGAAGAAGCCACATTCAAACCAAGCATCTTTCTATTGGCCAGTGCAGTAAATTCGCGTGAACATCTTGAACACGAGAGAAATCTGCGAGGGGAACTTTTCCACCCTCATGCAGAACTCTCAATTGTGTGGACTAACTGCGTCTTTAGATGAGGTTTTATTTCTCAAAATTGCAACATTTTTTGTAATTAAGATTTTTTTCTCATTTTATTGCAAATTTATGTGACCAGCTTGAACACTAACGAAATCTGCAAAGAGATTTTTGCCCTCATGCAAAACTCGCAATGACTGGATATTGTCCATGAAATTTCACGCAAATTTATGTGACAAACTTTACACAAGCAAAATCTGTGAAGGAAACTTTTTTTTGCCTTAATGAGAAACTCCCAACTGTGCGGACTCCTATTTAAATGACTATATAATCGTTCACAAAATTTTGTGTGAATTCGCAATACCAACTTGAACACAAGAAAAATCTGTAAGGGAAACTTCTTTGCCCTCATGTCAAACTCTCAATCGAACTCCTATTTGAACGACTTAATATCATCTGTGAAATTTTGTGTGACCAACTGGAAACACAAGTGCAATTTACAAAGCAAAAAATATTTTGCCCTCACATGAAAAAATGTGCAGACTGCTATTTAATGACTGGGTATCGTCCATGAAATTTTGTGTGACCAACTTTTCGCCCTAATGCTAAACTCCTAATCATGCAGACTCCTATTTAAATGATATCATCTGCAAAATGTATGCGAATTTGCATTATCAATGTGAACAAAATATGTGAGGAAAATGTTCTCACTTATGCGAAACTCCCAATTGTGTAGAGTCATATTTAAAATACTAAATATTGTTTGCAATATTTGTGCGAATTTGCATGACCAACTTGAACACAAGCGAAATTTGGAAAACTCTTTTTTGTCCTCATGCAAAACTCCCAAATATGCGTAGTCTTAGGCCCCGTCCACATGGAGACGCGTTTAGCTGTATACCATGCTGGTCTGGCATGTATACTACATCGTTTTGTGTCGGTTTCGTGGTTTCGTGTGGACGCAGATATTTCTTGAGACGAGGGGAAAAAAAAGATTGGATAGGGAAAGCTCTGGCTTCGTGTGGACGTAGCCTTATTTTAATGACTGGATATAACTTAAAAAATTAACAAAATCTACATGAGGAACATTTTCTCCCTGATGTGAAATGCCCAGTCGTGAAAACTATATATATATAAAAAACTGGTCAAATCATCTTCATAAAGCATGGTCATAGTGTAAAAATGATGTAATGTAGTTACATTTGCAGTAATCCTGAGAGCTGGATGGGTTACTGGAAGCAGAGGTCCATGTCGACGTCTTACAGTGACCAGGATGTTGAGAATGGCAGTAGTTCACACAGGGGTCCCAGCAGTGCGGGTGGTCACTTTTCTGAACTTTCACTAAACACAGAAAATGAATTACTAAATTGAGAAATTAATTACATGATTCTCAGAATAAATATCAACAAAATGCAAAATACATATACATTTTTATATAAAATACATGCACACACATACTCGATGTGGCTTTCTCTCTATATTGTTCACATTAGTCCTAATTTAAACACTGAAAATCCATCATTTGGAGTCTTGGGGGTCTGTTGAAGTCACATTCGAGTGATAATATCCGTCTCTAATACTGGTCTGTGGAAAATTATTGTGCATGCAAAACAATGAGGATGCTCATCAACAAACAGGCTAATGAAGTCCTGCTGCTAGAGGCAGGCCGTATAATTGAGTGCCTCGGTGTGCGGGTATGTGCTTGTTCTCATTTGTATCTCCAAGCACTCATAATGCAGTAGGTCTGACAGGAGCAGAAGGCTGAATTTAAAAGACAGTAAAATTAATTGAATAAATTAAACAAGCACACTTGAAACAAGTAATTTATTACAGGGCAGTGGTTCGCTACTGGTTTTGCTTCAGGAAGCAGATTCTGGACATCAAGGGTTGACGCAATATAAGGTCAAAATTGTTTATCATGCAAGAGTAATAGAAAAACAAATATGAAATCTATTAATATTACCATGAACTGCAACATTATTAACAAGACATAGGTTTAATATTATAAGACTTTGTCTCACAAATGCAATATAAAACTGTAATTTTATATCTCATTTATTGTAATTGAGACTTTTATTCACGTAATTGGGTGTTTTTTTCTCATAATTGGGAATTTTATTTATTTATTTTCTCGTAATTTGCAACTATTTTGTAACTGTGACTGTATTTGCTGTAATTGCAACTTCATCTTGTGGCTGACTTTATTTGTAATAATGACATCTTTGCGACTACAGTATCTTGTAAGTGTGGCTTCATTTCACATAAATAAGACTATTTCTCTTAATTGCAACTATCTCATAATTGTGACATCATTTCTTGTAACTGCAACTATTTTGTAACGGTGACTACATTTCTTGTAATTGCCACTTTATTTAATTTATTGAAACTGTGAATTAATTTCTTAATTAATGTAATTGCAACTACAGTATCTTGTAGCTGTGGCTTTGTTCTCATTATTAATGTATTTATTTAGTTTTTTTATTTATTTCGTTTTTTTTTCATTGTAATTGCGTTTTTATTATAACTGTTATATTTCTTGTAATTGCGACTAAGTATTTTGTAATGCTCATAACTGCAACTATCTCATTGCTCATAATTTCTCATAATAGCGACTATATCTCATAACTTCATTATTTCTCATAATTGCAACACGGTTTCTCATCATTCTGAAATTATTTCTCATAATTACAACCATCTCATAATTACAACATTATTTATGACAATTGCAACATTATTTCTCATAATTGCGACTTTATTTCTCAATTGTGACTACATCTCATTTAAATATGCCAATCTTAAGCCTGTCTAGCTGGCAGCTGGTTGGTTGATGGTCCAAGGTGGTTTACCTGTTTAGACCATCAACAAACCAGCTGCCATGTTCCATATTTCAGGACCAACTTGGGATTTTCCAGCAGAGTATTACTAATGTGAAACGCCCTAACTAAGTAATATAACATTCAACAACTTAGCTTTAACGTAGCTTAGCTTTACCCTCCTCCATCTCTGGAAAACCATAAGAAGCTTTAAAACACTCAGAGAGTGTGTGGTTACACTTTAAGGTTTTAATGAAGTCTACTCACTACTTCTTTAATCTTTGGTACATTACTAAACAAACCTTTAAACTTCTGCACATATTAGCATTCTATTAGCATTATGTTTGCATTTTTTGCCACACAGAATGTGACAAGATGTTAAGAAATGCCACTTTCAGACAGATTTTCACAAGCCAGGTTAAATACTACTATCTGTTCGTCTGAGCACCAATGAGGCATCTTCTAATGTTTGAGTGCTAAATCCCTCTTCCTTGTGGCTTATGCTAAGCTCGTCTGCTATGTCTCTAAGAAACACAACTCTGTCTCTTGATGTAGGAATTGGGAACACCAGGAACGATGACGGTAAAATCTCCCACACAGGCTGATGTGACGGGAGCTTAATTTGAGTAAGGAGATTACAATACTGCTTTTTTAAGACCACGTCATTTATCTAAAACACGAACTGAACCAGCAGGTGACTGACGCTAAGGTTATTAGCAGTGGTTTGGGCTAATTTGGTAATAAATTGTATGTAGTTTCATTCTGTATTGCAGAATACAGACATACTATATAAATAAATAATCTGAAAAAACCTGGACTACCATCTTGCCATGTTCCATCCAAAGTGGGATGTGCAACATGGGTCAGTGACATAAAACTATTAATGTATTCAGAAATACATAAAAAAATGCATTTCCTACATAGAATGACTTTGAAAGTAAAACGACATAACCTTGTATTACTATTATTTTATTGTTTAAAAAAACACATGCTCTACTGTTTGAGCTTATAGAAATTCTAATAAACTATTACAAATATTTGTATACAAATATACGTATATTAAAAATGTATGCAATGAAATTTTGCCAACATATCGTAAAAGTTTGGGAAAATATAAACGGGAAATGATGTCATAGAGATTTCTGTGGCATTTCTCATAAAGTCGCAATTATGAGAAATAAAGTCTTAATCATGAGAAATAATGCTGCAGTTGTTATAACTGTAAATTAATTTATTGTAATTTTGGATACAATATCTTGTAACTGTGACTTCATTTCTCATAAATGAGACTTTATTTCTCATAATTGCAACTATATCTCATAATTATAACATTACTGTTGTAATTGCAACTATATTTTATGATTGCAAAATTATTTCTTGTAACTGTGAATATTTTCTAACTGTGACTTCATTTCTCATAAATGATACTTTATTTCTCGTAATTGTGATTATATCACATAATTGCGTCATTATTTCTCATAGTTTCTATGAAACAGGAAATTATGTCATAGAGAGGTAAATAAATCTATTAAAATATTATACATTGATTTCTGTATGAAAAGGCAAAGTCACTTCAGGTTGTTACATGTCATGGGTTACAAAAAAACATATTAAAAACTTTTTCCTTGAAACATATTAAAAAAAACTTGTGCACTTTAAATTGTGGTGTAGTAAAATTATTTTTTAAAAAGTCATTAAATGTAAACTTTTTGTTGTTTTTCAAAACCATACAAAGCCATTGTGAATACAGATATTACATTTCTAAGAAATTGGCACATTTAAAAACTGACAGCTGACTGCTAACTTCAAACTTGTGTAATGTAATATCAGTGTTGCTTTGGATAAAAGTGTCTACCAAATATGCAAATATATTAAAATGTACATATTGTATTCTTCCTCACTTTAAATCCCCGGATCTCAAAGATGGCAATCCCAAATGAGCTTGTTACCAGACGTACTTTCTTTTCTTTCCCTAACAAGGTCAGCTACAAAATTTGCATATATAAAATCTGAATCGAAAATGTAGGAGTCATATGGCAAAATATCAAACTCCATTTATTTCCTGGGTGAAGTTTCTATGTATTATTGACACGGCTCCGCGAGTGGGTGTCAATTCTTGATTGAAGTCCTGCCGGAGCTGAAAGTTCACACTCGCAAACATGTTTTTCCATCATTACAGCCTTCCACCTCCTCTCTCGGGTTCTCAGCGCGGCAGGGAATGACCTATATAGTGCTATTTCGGCAGGACAGCTCAGATGCTGAAAAACTAAACTACTTTACTTATCCGTATCCATTAGGGACGTTTGTTCCTGAGCCCAAAAATCTGGGCATCAGGGCTTTAATGGCATCATAAACTCTGGTTACGGTGTATGCGAGCAATGCATGGAATTCAAGAGGCCATCTTGTCGGGTGTAGCGAATCAGCTCATTCATGGGGAAAGGGCCTTGTTCACAGACAACTTGGCACCCAGTATGTTTATTGGGTGAGGGGTCTGTGAACGTTTGTTAATCTAATGAATAATTGATTTGTTAAATCAAATGAAAAATGGTCTGTCTGATTGGTCCAGACGCTACACGGGTTTAAAGCTTTGGTGAACATGGTGGCAGAAGTGGGGCAAAAATAGGACTAGATGGAAATTGATGGGCATCTAGGGTTCTGGATGATTGCAGAACCAGAAATAGCAAGAACTTCAAAGTCAACGTAAAAACAACCATCTGAAGTTTCAATGTCTTCTATAATTGGAGTTGCCCAGTCATTGAGTGCATCCATGAAGTCGTGCAACTATAGAGAATGTTTATATGCTCAAAAGCTGGATTTCCATCCAAAGCTACTAATTTAACTTAAGCGCAAATTTGGAATATCAGATAAAACATTTGGAAATAAGCATTATACAGAAATATTTTGCATAGCTACCATTATTCGCATTAACCTTTTATCACACAAGTGAAAAACAATCCTAAAAAAATTTTTTTTTGCAAATTAAAGGATTTGTTCTTTTTTTTTGGAGATTTCTTCACTCGTTTCTGATGAGATACTTCAAAATGTGCATAAAAACAGGATGATGGAAACATAGCTAATGATAATATGCTATTGGAAGTGGGATGTGCAATATAAAATCCCAAAAATGAAAATTTGCTGAAAATGTACTCACCCTCAGGCCATTTTAAGATGCAGATGAGTTTAATTCTTCGTCAGAACAGATTTTGGAGAAATGTAGCATTACACCACTTGCTCAACAATGGATCCTCTGCAGTGAATGGGTGCCGTCAGAATGAGAGTCCAAACAGCTGATAAAAACATCACAATAATCCACAAGTAATCCACTCCAGTCCATCAATTAACATCTTCTAAAGTGAAAAGATGCACTTTAGTAAGAAAAAAACATCATTCCGTCTTTTTAACTTCAATTTCAACTTCATAATCCATAATATTGCTTCTTCAAGAGGAAAAGTCGTTTTGACTGAATCAGAAGTGAAATATGCACAGATCAAGCATAGTTTACAAGTGAAAACAGTTCAAAACAGCTCT